TCCAACAGCCAACACCCAGATAAGCAGGGATTAACATCAGACAAACAATCAGGCAGAAAACAATACCCTAATCAAGGAGCTACCAAGGAGAAAACAACATCCCCACCCACACTGGCAGGGCAAGCTACTGTATATAATCAGGGAGCAAACCCCACACTCACTAGCACTGATGATGTTACCTAGTCGGGTAATGCAATGTCTGCAAGCCAACAACCAAGCTCAGAGAGCACCAAGGACTCCACAGAAGGAAAGCTGTACACCAAATTGGCCAAGGTGCTTTTCTCTCCTGTGTTTTAAACAGTATGAGGAGAGATGAATTCTCACCAAAGTAAACGCGCAAACATAAAACCCACCAAAACCAGCTATGTGGGCCATGAGAAAAAGAAAATAATCAAAAACTTCCTTCAAAAATAGAGGGAATATCTTTGTTGCACCGACTGAAGCTTTGTAATAATTGCAAGCTTTTGAGTTTCTTAGAACTCCAAATCAGGCAAGACTGTTACAGGCTAGAAGAAAGGGATGGAAAGTGTGGTTGATCTCTGAACTACTGAATGTCCACACCCTATTACACTATTGCAGCCTGCACAGCCTCCAGAAATGCAAGTTGGGTTTTATTGGTATAGGGCAACAATGGCTTGCACACGGGGCTTTCTCAAAACTTGTTGGGAAGAAACAAGAGATGCAGAGTTCTCCATTTTGGAAAACACAAGTTCAGGTTAATGAAATAATTTCCATCCTTTGTGAGATACATAGATTCCATGACCAGTGGAAACAAAAGTCAGTTGGAGGTGATTTAAGTCACCAGTAAGGAACTTTCTGGGCCAAGGCAAATTGGGATTCTTATGTCATGGGCACACTGTTTAAATTATAAACCATCTTTTGCCACTGCTCTAAAGTCTTTGGTGTCATACAAATATCAGAGTCTACAGATGTCTTTTATATGGCTGTACAAAAGCTTTGACGAGAAGACAGAACTGCAAGGCGATTCAATCAATTTATTTCTTTGCATAGATTTGATGTCTGGATCTAATCAAGTGCATTTGAATCGGTTCAGTTATTTGAAGGTGACTTAGAGATTTGATAGACTTTCTGTCCTTGCGGAGTCCTAAACACTGCTGCAGCTTTCTTTCTATATATGGACTTAGTCGAATGGAGGTGTTGAATGGTGTGATCGGTCTTATTAGCAGCTGGCCAATGATTTTTATCACTTCTGCAAACCCCATCACAGCACTGAGGGAAGAAGGTTCTCTGCTTTTGTATCTCTCCCTTTTGTTAGGGATTAATTGCTTGTTCATTGCCTGAACAAGTTTGAAATAGTGTGCTTGCTGTTGGATGATTATGTATATCATACAGATGTTCCTTTATACCATAATAAATTAGGTACACAACAGTATTGAGGCACTTCTTAGATTTTTGAAAAAGCATTATACAGCAGCATCTTATTCCCAGAAGAGGCTAACATTACCAATCAGCCATGCCAACAAACCTACCAGCCCAGAAAAACATGTGGTCAATTGACAGTGGCTCTTCAGTCTTTAATAAGAGCGTGCTACTTAAACAGTTTTTGCAAGTTTTATTTTTAAGTTGGAGTAGAACATTTGCTACATTGGTTCAGCACTTCTCTAAAGGTGCTTTGCTTCAGAGGATGATGCCCTTCCTCATTCCTTCTATCTCTGCCTTAAAAGAGTACAGAATATTTCAAAAAAATTAGCACATTGAAATCCTGGAATCTATCCAGTTGAAGCATTAATTTTCTTTAAGCTGGCCACTACCATCTTGCTACGTTCATCCTGGTCTGCCTCAGAACGAACCACTGAAGACTTTCATAGTTACCCCTTATAGCCTGTCTTTACTGAATTGAAACCCTGGTTTTCTCCTTGGTAGTATCCCCACCAAAACTTAGGGCAAGCTACTTGATGAACAGGGAGCAAATCCCAAACTCACTCTCACTGATGTTACCTAATTGGGTAATGAAATATCTGCAAGCAATCAACCCAGCTCAGAGAGCACCAAGGATTCCACAGTTCAACCTTGAGCTACATGTATTATTTTCTATTAGATTCAAATCAAACTGAATCATGCTTTTCAAATCTTGAATTCAGACCAGATCTTGGCTGACTGATACACCCCTGGTTATTATCCATTTTTTCCATATCTCTCCTATTTGGCTATGTAACAAAATCTAGATTTTTTATACTCTTTCTTTAGATGTCTTCTAATATCTTAAAATGTATTATTACCATAGCTGCTTGTTTATATTTTCTATCAGTCCTTTTGTATTAAAATAATAATAAACTTTGAAGGTTTTATAAAAAAAGTAGAATATATGTATTTTAGAATAAGCATTAATGAATAGTAATCTGTTATTCACACACATTTAGTAATTATTCCTGTTTTCCCATTAATTATCAAAGCTTATAAAGATAACAGCAGGGGATGAAACTATTAAAATGTTAATCTACATCAGAGAGAATACAATAAATATTCATTGCATACCACGAATAACAATTTGTCTGCAGAAATGATCACTGTATCTCATTAACGCAAAGCCAACAAGTAACCATTTAAAAGTTCATCGTTACTGAAATGTTTATAGTTTTTTTGAGCGTGCTGCTTATCTTTTTTGTGCTGTCCTTTAATAAAAGATGAAAATATTAATTTACTTTATACAAAACACCAAATATGTAATTACACAGAACACAGTCTTTTTACTTAACTACTTTTCCTCACTAATGTGTCTGAATGTCTCTCTCTCCACAACCTCCTGGACCTGGGCAATTGCCACATTTTGCTGGGAACTATACAAACAGCCCTTGCTTGTCCATATGGCTCCATATCTATGCATGATAGATCCTTCTGCAGACCGATGCCTCCTATATGTGTATGCTAGATGGCAGTGACAGTACATTAGACATTCTTTGCAAACCATGAGAGTTTTATCTCAAAATTAAACAATTACATTTTAGAATCTTATATATGTATATATTTATGCATGGACAACAGAGTGGTTGCAGAACAGATATTTATAGGGTTGCTGAACATATACAGGCTTTTGTGTGTAAATTTACTACTAAACATGCCTGCAGGCACCAATATGTTTAATATATTTTTTCAAATTCCTAAAAACTATTTCTAAAACTGTCTGCCATTCCATATTATTTTATATACTTAATGTCAAACTATTCTGAAATGTTAAGAAAATATGTGTTTCTACTAAAATTTAAGTATTTGTAAGTATATATCTGTACAACACTGGACAAATACATTTAGCATAGAAAATATAAATTGTTTCCATTCTTTTAAAGCTTTTATATATAAATCACCATTGTCATTCTCTGAGCTCCCCTGAGTATAAGCAACAAAAATATAAGCTCGCTACTAATAGCTCACTCCAAATTCCTTGTGTTTCTTTGTTATCAGTTATTGCAATTACTCCTAATATAGTGTGATATATTAGTTTGATTTGACTTAATTCTCCTAGAATTTCAGTTTCTAGAAAGAAACTGTGTAGTGACAGTCCAGATGTAAATCCAAACTGGAATGGTAAAGCATCATTAGTAATCTACTAAATAAAATAAATGGGAAAACAAAACTGTGGTTAGCCAAGAATCAGACAGATCGAGAAAAGTGCTATTTCATTTCCAGATAACTAGATTCTGGGCTCAGTATGCTTTCATAGCATAAAATCTATTCCTCACATCTTTCTGGCTTTTGAACATGATTTTAAAAATAATGGAACTTGTCTTAGTTATTTCCTCCACAGGCGCAATAACATGATTCTAGAACCAATAGCCTACAGACCATTTCATCACATTTCAATAGTGGTTGCACACTGAGGAGTGGGGAAGTGAACATTCTGCTTCACTATTCCTAAGCATACAGAATCTTTGTATCAGTTAGACAGGAAAGAATATGCACCTTTCTTCCTTTAAAGAGAAGTTAACCTCAAGATGATACAGTACAGCTGATAAATAGTATTCAGTCCTGAAACATGGATAAGATTAAGCCATCTCCTATATAACGGTTATGTGTTTGCAATTGATTGCACTTTATTTTAAAGTTACAGTATTATTCTTCTAGTTGATTTTGCATGTAACATGGCATAATAAACTAGCATTGCTATCTAAAAAAATAAACATTGGCCAAGTTATGAAGAATGAGGGACTTTTCAATATTCCCAGAGCCTTGAATGAATCTAAAATCTCAGCTGGTGTTCTTGGTCGCAGCTGAGGCAACATGATTGAGATGTATACAGTTATGCATGGTGGGGATAAAGTGGACAAGGAGAAACTATTTTCCACTTCCCAAAATAGTAGAACCAGAGGTTGCTCAATGAAACTGACTCCTGGAAGAATCCAGATAGACAGAAGTAAAAAAAAAAAAAAAAAAAAGGCATAATTAAACTTTGGAAGTGGTGCTGGCTACCAGCTTGGCTAGCTTTAAAAGAGTTGGACCAATTTATGGAAGTCATAGGATCAATGGCTATTAACCTTGATGGCAGTACAGCTGCCTCTGAGGCCATCTGCAGGAAGACTAGTGGGCTTTCTTGTACAGTTGGTTGACCACTGTGAAAACAGACTGCTGGACTAGATGGGCCAGCAGTCTGATCCAGCAGGGTAACTGCTTACGTTCTTACGTACCCTTCAAGTTCTTATCTCCTATGCTTCCTCTCTCTTTCTTGATGTACCAATAGGTTTCTAAAAAGTACAGAACCTAACTTATGAGGAGCAATACGTTAAAGCAGCTACCATACCCTTTCAACTCAAGTGCTGATCTCTCAACACCTGGAGTTAGGAACACTAAACCTTTCTAAAGTAACATCCAGCATTTCATTATTATGCGATAACCTCCTGAAGAATATAGATGCTTTGCCTAGATTCAAAACCTGAGATGAAAAACATGCTTATGACTCCTGTTATATGTAGATCTCAAACTCTTCCTCAAAGTAGTTGCAGATATAAGTAATATTGTGATTTATGGGGATTCCTAGATAGTTTCACATGTTCCTGGGCTGGCTCTGTTACATTGGAGCAAAGGAAAGGAGACTGATTGATTGGTTTATTTGTATACATGTGGGTTTTAGAGTTTTTATAATATGGTTGGTGCATTATTGCCTTTGTTTAAGTTCATTGGATTGGCAGTAGTTTAAGAATGCTTGGAAACTCCCCCCCCCTTTTTTTGACTAGGGGAAAACTCCCCCCAAAATATTTGCCCTATGGAAAACAATTTCTTTCCCATAACATTTCCACCTTTCTTAAAATATATGATGTTGCCATCAAGGTACTGCAGCTGCCCTGTGTGCTATTAGAATAATGGAACTTTTTTCTGCTACATAAATTGCAATATTTAAAGTGACTGATGCACTTTTTGAATTCAAAATAATATTTGTCTTTTGTTGTTGTACATCCAAAGCATTATTTTATGATAGAAAGGAAAAAAAGCTAAGTCTTCTTTCACACTTTATAGGTTGTTCAGTTCTTTTTGTCACAAGTGTCATCTTCTGTAAATCTGAAGGCCAAGTTTACGCATTGTAATTATGAACAAGTGAATCAAGATTCTTTTGAAAAGACGGCTTGCTTGTTGCTCTTCTCTATGATAAAATGGCTTGCATAATTCATGATGACAAGGAGGTCTTAATAAGCAGGAAGCAAAGCTCTATGCAAATGATGTTTTTGAAAACACAATAAAGAAAGTACAGTTACAAGTTGTATCAAATAATGATTCATATCAGTCCCTACTCTACTCCCAAAGTAATAAGACGAGCAGAACAAGTCAACAGAAATGAATCATAATGCACAATATATGTACAGTCTGCTGGTTCTAAACAGTGTGAGGAGTCACACTAGATTGTCTGCTTGAAAAGAAAAATGATTATTTTAAAAGTTGCCTTTATGAGAATCTTCACATGACACCACCACAGTATGTTTCATAATTTAATCCTGGCAGCAACAAGGCAAACTTCTGTCATTTTGTAGTAAGAGGTACATTGTTTTTAATATTATTGCTGTCTTGAATTGTTCTGACAGTGGTCTGCGGGTTGTTTTTTGGTGTATTAGGTACTGACACATGATAGAAATTTGGTAGGCGAATATCATATCGAAATCCTTTCCCTAGGCTCACTCTGTCATTCAATGCATAGAGTTTATCAGCAATATCATTTCCAATCAAGACTGAAAACAGACGTGAGATGAATCGGTGTTTTGCAAAGAGTAAATACAACTTTTTTCTCCTCCAGGCCACATAATGACAGTCTGTTTCTGCAGTAAGGGTTACCTGAAAGACATATTCCCAAGGGTGGGGAAAGGGAAAAAGAGAAAACAAGTTGATATTTTTATCATTATGATTGCTAAAAAAAACAAAAACAAAACCCTTCCTTTTCTCTTACACTACTCTCATAAATTGAAATTGTAAAATGGTTTCTTCCTGACTTTCATTCTAACTCTTGTCTACTTACTAGCATTTTCTTACTCTGGTCCAACTATATGTCTCTTACTGGATAAGTCATCCAAGTGTGCAAGCTGTCTATCTGTATTGTATTTCTTTTAAAGGCAAGATTATCCAGAAGAAGCATATCCTTAATTTGGGCATTCTGGTAAAAGGATGATAGTTCTGGTAAATGCAGAATTCATGGTGGATTTTACAGACATTTAGATTTAATAGATACCCCTTCCCCTCAAATGATCCATTAAAATGATATTTTATTGTGTTTGATCTACTTATATGCTACCAGAGAATAAGCCTCTGACATAAGGAACTAAAAATCCAAAATGTGAAAACAAGAGAAAGAGGAAGGAAATGCAAGCAGGGAAGAGTAAGGAAGAAAGATGCAATTTTTCCAGTTTCATCTACATGGATTAGTTACTTGATCAATCACTATAGAAATTCTCTCTGATCATATACCAAACACTGGCAGCAAAACACTGTTTAGGTACCTCATCTTTAGATTTTTATTCTATGCTTTGGGTTTTTTTCATTGGTAAATGTTTTAATTTTTCCTTGGCTCCCTTTACCTTTGCCTCTGTCCAATAACAAGTGCTACCTGTAGTCAGTGGACATTTCCCACCCTCTGCAGAATGGCATGGAGCTAAGTCCATGGGCCAAAGTCTTCCCAGACCAGGTAGTTTTTGAGTCTGAATCTAAAGGAATGTTCTCAGGAAGATTTTCTGGAAGACAGATTGAAGCATATGGTGCAACAAAGGGCAGATGGCCCTTTTCTCCCTTTCTTAAGCAGCAAAAATGAGTATCTGGTTCACCCATGTGAAAGGCTAACTTTTACATAGATCTTTCTAGTTATACAGGTAGTCCTCATTTAACGACCACAATTGGGACTGGAACCTAGGATGCTAAGTGATTTGGTTGTTAAGTGAATTATCATGTGACCAGACCTGATTGTACAACCTTTTTTGTGGCGGCTGTTAAGTGAATCACCATGGTCATTAAGTAAATCAATGGTTGTTAAGCGAATCACACAGTTGTTAAGTAAATCACGTGGTTCCCCATTCATTTTGCTTGCCAGATGCAGGCTGGGGAGGTTGCAAGTGTTGATCACATGACTCCGGGATGCTGTAACCGCCATGGTGCGAGCTGGTTGCCAAGCGCTTGGAATAGCGATCATGTGACCGCAGGGGCGCTGCAACAGTTGTAACTTCAGGCACCAGCTGTAAGTCATTTTTTTTAGTGCTGTCATAAGTTCGAACAGTCACTAAATGAACAGCTGTTAAGCAAAGACTACCTGTATACTGCTTCCTTCTCCATAACAAGATACACACAAATGAAAATTAAACATAATTAATATTAAAAAATCAGCAATTAAGCTTAAAAAAACTATAACCATTTTAATCCGCCTGAAGGATGACTGTATAAGTACACAAATGTTTATGAGAAAATATATTCAAACTCACCCAGAGAAAACCTAGGTGAACAGACTGAAGTTTAAAACTTTATGATAGTTAGCATCTGGAAAAGAGGATTCTAAAGAGTAGGTGCCACCCAAGAGAAGGGCCCCTTCCATGTAATTCCTGTATGACCATCTACAGGTCATGGTACAATTGATAAGCCTCCCCTTATAATCTTAGCCTGCTCCCAAATCAGTATAAGGAATAGTGGTCTACCAGCTAGCTCAATGACAATGAAGCCTCAGATGGTTTCATACACCTGTTAAATGGCACTGGGACAAAATACTGTTGTACCACACAACATACTGTAGCTGTGAGGGAAGAGAGGTATGGTCACTCATTTTGAATTTCTGGAAACATTCCTACAAATAAGAAGGGAACTACTATAAAACAATGACCCCATACCCTCAACTCCTGGAGTCGATTCACCATTTTATAAACTTTTGAATTAGACACTCCTGTTCAAACCAGAGAGCATAGTGGTTAAGGCACCCAGCTAGAAACTGTCAGTTCTAGTCCTGCCTTAGGCATGAAGCCAGCTGAGTGACTTTAAGCTAGTCATTCTTTCTCAGCCTAGGAAGAAGGCAATGGCAACTTCTGAAAATCTTGCCACAAAAACTTCAGAGACTAGCCAGGCAGTTGCCAGGAGTCAGCACTGACTCAAAGATGCACATACACATACAAAGAAATTCAAACCAGGAACTATCTGACATACAGTATGTACATTTCCCATCTCCCCCTGCAGTCTTATAAACTGAAATGTGATGTTCATCCCCACAATCTAAAGGATGCTACATGGTGGGGAGAATAATATGTTCTACAGAGACTGCAAATCAATAGAGCTGTTTCCATTTATAATAAATTAGGAAATAGCATTTGAAGAATAAATAAGAAGGAAAGCTTTCAAAACATTTCTTTTGGAATCAGAGATGTTTATAGCTTTCTCATCAAAATATTTAAATGGTCTTCCTCTAATCAGAAAGCCCTAGTGCTGGACAACCTGATTTGCTGGTAACCCGATTTGAAAACCACTGTAGACTCTGGATGTTCCATCAACCCCAAAGCCATGAATTCTGTTTGCTAGCAGCAGCTGCTCGATTCAAGTGGCAAGTAGAGAAGAAAATGTTGGGTGATGCATGAAAAAGACTACACAAAAGTGTTTCTTTTTCAAAATTTCTGAACCTGTATTATGCTTAAACTTTCACAAACTTTACTTCAGTGTCATTTTCTTTAATTATCTGGACTAAATACAGCATTTGGTTCCTTCTTCAAAAAAGTGACATCAACACAGGTTTTTAGAGAGACAGGTCTTAATCCTAAATTGGGCATTTCCTGGAATCTCTGTGCTTCAGTTCTGGAAAATGAGAATTTTGTCTAATAGATTCACAAAATTTCCCTACCTGAAAAATGCCATCTTCTGTGGGTCTTAGTGAATCCCATTCAGGTGAATCCAGAAACTGAAGAGGGAAAATATAATGCAGAAATTCCCCATCCACCGTCACGCTAACTCTAACAAAACAGATCAGTTTGTGTTAATAACTGCCAGCACAGGAAAAGAAAAATAAAGCCTAGGTTTATCGCCAAGTGTGAAAAATGTTTAAATTGTACATAACTTATGCCCTATGACTGGCATTAAAGAATGTCTTACATTGGAGGGTCATCATGTTTATGTCTACTATCCATATGCATTTAGTAATAAACTACATACCTTTATTTATAGATTTTAAGTCCATACTAGCAAAAACAATTATATGGAGAATGGCCATTGCTGACACAAAAGCAGAAAATAATTCCAGGTCACATCTTCCTTAACATTTTTGAATCTCCTTGGCAATTCTCCAGCAAGTATTCAAGAAAGGCACAAACCCAGAGAGAAACAACAACAACAAAGGTACAAAACAGAAATCTTGGCAAAAAAGGAAAAAATAAGTAGGCTGTTTTCAAAGACATTCATTCTGCAAGATAAACCTGGCTTGTAACTGCAGTGCCAGAAGGATAAGATACGGTAGAGGGACAATGGAAATGGCTGAAAGCTATCAAGGATTTTCTATCTGAATGTGCTACATGGATTATAACATATCCATTATGTGGGATTCACAGAATTTCTTAGAATAAGAAATGGGAGATTGCAGTAATTCAAATTCACATGGAATAATCTTATTAAGGTTTTAGATATCATTCTAAATAAAATTATCAGTGTTCAGAGACCAGATACTTGTATGTTGGGCATAAATCAAGTTGCTACTGTTATACTTGTAGAGCTGCTAAACATTTCTGTCTGACTGACCACTATTGGAAACAAGTGGCTGGACTATATAGATCTTCTTTTAGAACTGAACCCAGACTCTGATTGTTCATACACTATCTATAAAATGAAACTGATAAACTTTACATAGGATTGAGTTGTGCCTACTGAGCTATCAAAGTCAAATCTATTTTAAAAATTAAGAATTTTATTGTCTTCATACTGTAGCATCTATAATAAATCACTTTCATTATAGGTTTCAATATTCCCTTACCTTAGGCATGAGCAGATTATAAGCCTGCATGACCTACGTCACAGCTTAATATCCCCAGGTCCACTACTTTGATACAAAAAAAAAAAATAATGAAGTTGGGGGCTATCAGTTCGCACTGAATATCAGAACTAAATTACGCATACTGTTCACCTCCCCAAACTTTTTTTTCATTTTTAATGATGTAATTTGGAAAGGTGAGGGTTTTTTTATCATTGCCATGTTAAGCAATTCAGAATCAGAAAACCTTGCAGATGCATTTCAGATCAGCAGTCTACTGATCTATCTTCTATACTACTTTGTCTCTTTTATGAACAAATTAAAAATGAAAAAATTGTTTTAAAAGTCTTCATACTCAGTGATGACAAAGATTTTACACATTTCTGACTTTGGTACAAGGCAAGGTGGCAAGAAACTCAGCTTTTATGTTCAACCAGCAGTTTCTCCAATGTTACAGAACAGGGATGGAAGAAAGAAGTAAAACTGGAATAAATGAAATGTTGTAATAACCGATTTGAGAATATGGCACTCTTTAATGAAAACTGGGACATTAAAATGAATACAGCCTTCACATGAAACATACTGAATATGTTCCAAGGGTAAGTGCAGGCCTCAAGGTGCCAGTATTAAGAAATTGTCAAGAAATCCATTGTGTGTGCGTGTGTGTTCAGAATTATGTAAATGAAACAAATGCTGTTACACAACACAAAACATAACAAATAGGGATTGGGGAGCAGATACAACAATTTTAAAAAGGATTAGCCATGGAAAAATGAAAAATACTGAATGTACAATATTCTAAGTTCTAGGACACTTATCCAAACTTTCATCTTTCAATTTTTTATGTTTGCAGTATCCTTAAACTTTTCCAATGCTAAAGGAAAAAGCAGTTTTTCTCAAGAAGATAAATCCTGCCACAGTTAACACTTTCTCATACATCCATGGCCTGTTATTGTTTTAGGCTACTATGTCTTTGACCTAGGAAAGTTTTTTACACTTAGGATTAAAGTGTCACATACTTGAATCTACCATGTTCATTTTAAACAGGTTCAGACAATGCAAAGGAGGCCAAAGATTTGGTGTTCTTGGACCTTTGGTTTTAAAAGTATAAGCATGATACAAACCTTCCTGACAAAAGTAAGGAGAGCTTGTCAATTGGAGTTTTGCCTTGCATTGCATAACAATGTTCCTTCTCTAATGTAATAACTTCTCCATCACAGCAGAGGACAATTTTTCTAAAAACGGTCAAGGAGATCCCCAGGGGCTGGAACAAAGCATTGTAAAGCTCCTGAAATTCTTTGTCAAAAGCAACACTCCGCACTTGGTAGGTTACATAAATAAACTGTATGAAGCAGATCACAAACAGGATAAAATTCCATGAGAAAATATCAGCTGCACAGACATCCAGCCATGACCACACAGATGAGCAGAGAAAACCCAGCCCCAGCAGAAAGAAAATATAGAGCAGGCCAAAAAAGCCACTTCCGCCCATAAAGCCGACCACAAACAAAATGCTAGCTAAATGATAGATTGATCCTTCTGTTTCTGACTTCCAGTTCGTGCAGATCGGGTGTGCAAATATCAAGCTGTCCCAAAAGCTTGAGTTGTCTCCCATGGCTGCAGTGTTAGATTAATCACTGACTCTGAAGTTAGGGTATCACATTTTCTGTCCCGAAGAGCTGCTATGGCAAACATTCAGCCACTAGGATAGCTGTCTCTTTAGAAATCCATACTCTTCCACATTGATTCTTGTAACTTCCATATCTTGTTTTATCTGCCTAGAAGAAAGAGGAAGATAAGAGAAGTACAAGACCATAAAGATGCAGGGGGAGACAATATCAGCAATGTATATGCTTGCTTAAAGTGAAAGGTTTAAATCCAGGTTCTTTAGTATTCACAGGATTGCCTCTGTGCAGCATTCCACTCAGAGTTATGATAATGGGAAAAGGGGTGGAGACTTTTTTTCCCTGATGTTCACCTCCTTCTAGAGCTACGGCACCGTGTCACCCACTGTTCCAAAAGGTGACCAGCTATCTAGAACCGATTTTGAAGAGCACAGAAGATTGCAAGGAAAGGAGGAACTGACAAATACATTTTTCATTTGCTGGCTTCTGCCATACCAAATTTGGCTTGATCTGCAGGGTTTTTGGGATGTTATCCTGTTGATAGACAGATTCTTTTGCGTTCTTTAGATAATTTCTTTCCAATGTTACATTGGAAAGAATAAAAAGAAGCCAGCTTTCCACTTTGATAGCTCAGGCACCTTTCTGGATAGATTCTTTACCTAGTTAAGGGCAGAATTATGCATCTGTGAAGCTCTGATAATCAGGTTCTGAATCAGACTGACAACAGAAGTAGACTAGAAGAACTCAGCTTGATTTTCATTGAGTGCTAATAATTCTTGCATTCTTACATATAATAGTGTATTGTTATGTGATAATAAAATGTAAAATAATATAATACATATATACTGAGAAAGTTAGCACAGTAATAAGATAAATTAAACTAGCATTTAAAACTTCTCTCTCACATAAACACAATAAAATCAGCTAGGACAAATTTCTCCAAGGCAACTTTCAGGTCAAAATGTTAATGGAGCAGAGCAGCAGTAGTACACAGCACTGCAAATGAACAATCCCCCCCCCCCCCCCCAGCATGACATGTTCATCTGATTCTTTTAAAATGTACAGTATTTCCTAGGTGTAATTGTTGAATTGTCAGGTTTTACACTTATGCCGTGAAAAATGCAACAGCCCACTAGCTTATCATTGTATCTCAATTCTGACAGTAAAATAGCTGTATGCAAAATGACACGAGACACAGTAGGGAAGAAAATTTCCAATTTGCTTGTGGAATAATTACCATTTTAAACCCTCCAGAAACAAAGCAGATTTGTATGTCAGTTGTTTTTTGCATTTAAAAAAAAAATCTAGTTAGTGCATTTCATGAGTACCCCGTGAGGCTTATTTTCTGACAGCCACTCATGCCAATACTTGCTATCCAAACGCTGAGAGGTTTCAGCACTTCAGAGGTGTTATCACTAGAGTGCACAGAAACAGGACTTCAAAGAACATGGAAAATGTCAATTTCACATTTCTCAGGTGATGTGTTCAAAATCTATTATTGGTTTCTCAAAGCAATAGTTGAGTGTAGGAACTGAGAAAGTGTTAGTGTCCCCATGCAGTGTAAATCCCTGTACAATGAAGAACTTTAGTCCCATCTGGACAGAGGGCACGGGACTACGTGCATGTGTGTGCGCGCTCGCAGGGAGATTGTGGAAAGAGGGCACAGGGTGTATGTGATCACAGGGAGGCCATAGAAAGAGGGCGTGGGGTATGGGCATGTATACGTGTGATCGTAGGGAGGCCGTAGAAAGAGGGGTGGGAGGTGTGCGTACATGTGTGCAAGAGCAGAGAGGCTGGGGAAAGAGGGTGTGAGTTGTCTGTGAGTGAAAGGGGAAGGAGGGTACAGTGTGTGCAAGTGAAAGGCTGGGGGTGGGGGGAGACTTAACCCAGCAACTTGGGACCTTCCTTGCTGGCTTCCCATTGACTTTGCCTGGGGGAAGCCGGCAGGGAAGGGCACAAATGGCGATCACATGACCATGGGATGCTGCAACTGGTCACAAGTGCGAGCTGGTTGTCAGGCACCTGAATTTTGTTCAAGTAACTGTGGCAGCATTGTAACAGCCAGAACTTCAAGAACCAGTTGTAAGCCCCTTCGTTCAGCACCGTTGTAACTTTGAACCACCATGAATGAATGGTTGTAACTCTAGATCTGTCTGTCTGTCTATCTATCATCTATCTAACTGGTAAGGAAACCCAACTTGTTTACGACCCTGGATGGTGTACAAAATTAAAAACGAAGATAATATCAAACACAACAGAAGAGGGAGATCATCTTGGTGGAACAATCTCCACCAAAAATGTGTAAAATCCTTTACACCCTAACCTGCAGAAAGGCATGATTAAAAGAGAGACCATTAGAATTTCTGGGGGACTGCTGTTTCAGAGGGCAGACACCACAACAGAGAAGGCACATCCTGGGTCCCATCTGATGTCATTATGTAATGGACTCAGACTCTGTCTCTTCTTACAGGATAGGGATAAACAGCAGGAGAAAGATGGTTCCTCAAATAGCTAGGCCCCAAGGGTACACCCACAACTGCTTCTGCTACTGCATTCTGGACCAGCTGAAGCTTCCAAGATGTCTTCAAAGGCAGTTCTATGTAAAGCACATTGCTGTAGTCCACATATGAGGTGACCAAGCCATAAGTGAGAGCTGTCTTGCTTGTGTCATTCCAAGACATCTGGTCAGCCATTGTAGGAAAAATATGATGGACCTGACTGGACTCTGGTCTGATCCAGAATAGCTTTTCTTTTGTACTTAAATTCTCATTCACAGCTTCTTAATCTTCCTTTGCCTCACATCATTTTTTGTGTGTGTGTGGTGCAATGGTTAAGATGGTGGACTAAGAACAGAGAGGCCCAGGTTTAGCCTACGGTCAGTCTTGGGAAGATACTGCAACCATTAAGTAAAAAAAATATTACACCCAATGTTATAAAAAGAAGTTGAGGTGTATTAAGCTAGTGGAAATAGAATAATTTATATGGTAATCAATACTGAAAATGTAGGTGAAATTAACGTCAATGGTTATTTAACGATAAACAGAGCATCTGACCCAGACTGTATTGTTGCTTCTCAATTTAGGGAGATCTCCAAATAGCTCTTATTTTTGTTAAAAAGATGTCCCATGGGTTATGTAAGACTTGTAGATAAACTTGACTTTGCACAAATTTTTCCATAAGCCACATTAAAAAATTTCAAGGTTGTAAACATTTGCATTAAGCACACAATGCAAAGAAATACAGTGAGCGGATAAATACTTTGAAGTGAGTATAGAAGAGGGGCAGCATTTCCCACAGGTCAGATGCTTTCCCCTCTTACTCATGTTTTGCCATAGCTACTGTACAGATATCTACTGCATTATCTCATAATTTTCAGTGTTATTTTACTCTTAATTTTATTTCAATTAAGTGGGTAGTTGTTCCGACTTCTGCAAAAATCAGATTATTGAAAGTTTTCTAGAATAGAACAGTTGTTTAAGTTGCAAAGTTCCTATCTTGTAAACAAGTGAAACAAAAATATCTACTTAGGGAATTACAAGTATTTTATGTCTCCTGATGGGTCTGTAATAACTACTATCTACACTTTGCTTAACAGTTTTCTTTTTAGTGTCTTTGCTGTGTCTAGAAAGATCCCATCGTGAAGCACCGATCTAGAAAAATTAAACTGGTATCTCAATCTATTAGCAGAACTTAATGTGAAAAAGGACAATACTAGATTGTAAAACTAACATAATCTGGTTCTAAAATATATTACTTAGTATGTTACTTATTAGCATTTTGGAAGTCAAGCTAGGCCCTTTCAGGAGAAATGCAATATAGTGTTCTGTAATACTAAAAGGAAGTATTTAAAAGGCAGATTAGTCAGTGAAATGGGGTTGTTTAACCCTACCGGCAGATGGCAAAGGATGAAAATCCACATTATGAAGTGTCTTCTCACCCAATCTGGATTCTAATGCTAGACTGAGCTCTGAATAAAGGAAAGAACAGCATATGGGACAGCATATTTGAAAGAGAGAATCAGTAATGTTCATTCCAACAGGCCTATTCAAACCCCTGAACTTACCTTATCAACTCTCGGATTTGGCCCTCACATTTACCAAGTTAATGTACAGTTTTAATATTTATTATTTATTGAATCCCTACCTTGCCTCTCTTCTTGCAGGGCATACAAGGCAGCTAACAATCAGTTAACTCTCTCTTCCTCCATACATACACATGCATAAATACAAACCTGTAAAAAGAACTAAAATGATTAGTGAAAGTCACAGGAGATGATAGCACCTAGGTGTCCTCAGCTAATCTCAGAAAAACCAAGCAGGATCATAACTGGTTATTACTTGGCTAGGGAGCTCCAGAACATCCCAGGGAAGTTGAAAACGATATTCAAGCAGCAGGCAATGGCAAACTACTTGGCTTTATTGTTAACTAAAGCCACCAGGAGCATAATTTGACTTGAGAGAGTCTTTCCTTTTTCCTGTACAACTCAAAGTGTCTGGCAGAAGAGGAAAGGGGTGTGTGTGTCAAGAGAAATACCATGAAGTATATTCCATAATTTTGGAGAAGGACCTGACAATCTGAGAAGCTGCTTGAAGTGTTTTCAGCTTCAAAAGTTAAAACCAGCACTTTGAATTGTCTTCATAAAACAACTTGAAAACCAGTGTAAAACTCTCAACTTAATGTGATTTTGGTACCATGTGTCAGGACTTAGCAACTAATTTGCCCATTTTGCACCCCCTTAAGCTCTTGGGCACCTCCACCAAACCATGCCATTCGGGGAGTGGGAGGGGGGAGGATTTCAAAAACAAATCCTCCAAATCAGATGTGACTAAGGATGATAGAGGCCTATTTGGAGCTGGAACCATTCAGGCAGCTGAACCCTGCCTTCTCAAAATGGCATGTTACAGACAGAAATGAACTGTGTGTGTCTGTGTGTGCCTTCGAGTCAATGTTGACTCCTGGTGAATGACTGGACAAGCCATTGCGGTTTTCTTGGCAAGATTTGCGAAGTGTCTTGCTGTTGCCTTCTTCCTAGGGCTGAGAGAGAGTGACTGGCCCAAGGTCACTCAGCTGACTTCATGCCTAAGGCGGGACTAGAACTCACGGTCTCCCCATTTGTAGCCTGGTGCCTTAACGACTACACCAAACTGGGTCTCCCAGGGCTTATACGTTCTCTCATATGATCCATTCCTGGATTGGCAAATTTTGCACAGCTTTATCAGCTATGGTTAAGTCTTTGGATAGAGATCACCTGGGAATTCCAGGGCTATTGGCCAGATTAGGAAATGAAAAAAACTGCATGGATGCAGACACCAGGCATTAAGCTCAACCTGAAGGCATGTTTAATTTGTAACTATTTCCCCCAATATGGAGCTCTTCAAAAAAGTTAGGATCCCAAGTCTCAGCATTTCTGGCCAACATGCCACTGCAATGTGCTTGGAATGAAATTACTGTTCTTAATAATCTTTGTTATGCTAGTGTTGCTAAGATTACTATTTCGGAGACATTTTACTTTGAAACTAACTCTTGAAAATGACAAAAATCAAGGAGCTCTTACAACAAATTTTTAATATGATTCTATATCAAATTACCAAAAACCTGCATCAATTGTTGTGTCCCTCATCAGTCCATAGTGAAGATTTATCAAAAGAAAGTCATCAGGAGCATTCAGAAATCCTTCAGATTATGTAAATCCCTAGGGGTGAACTGTTTTAATATACCAAATTACTCAAAACATTGACTTATCTGCCTTGTTTTTGTTGGGAAAAAAATATACTGATCATAACATTTTCAGACATGTCTGAACTGCATAATCACCATAAAGTACCTAAAGGAAAGCATAGTAATTGAAGCAGGACTAGTAAACTAAAAATCTTGTGATGCTTCAATCCAAACCAAAATCTAAATACAGTTCTGTTCAGTACAAACTAATACATCAGCACAGGGAATACATATCCAATCACACAGCAATATTTTCCATTACTTTCTTCTTATCCTCTTGCATTTGCCTCACACATACTCAGGAAAGAAAATGCAGCATCAAATGGTTTGAACTACCTTTTTTTTTCAAATATGTTTTTTTTTTAAAATGGCACAATATTTTTATACACCTTTACACTGCTTTGGTTATAGTTTTAGAATTTTAAGAATATTACATGAGTATGTAATTGGTTTGGATGGCATTGTTACAAAAAAGTGCTATTTTGCTCATTTGTTTTGAAAAATGATTTATCTTAAACCCAGAATGAAAAATTTCAGTCCTTGAATTTCAATGAAATGTTTACAGTATAGCTTAAGTAGTACAAGAATGTACCTAATACTTACTCTTTTAAGTTGGTGCTAAGGTATATTAATTACGTGTGCTTGAAATCTGCAAGTTCAACATAGTTTGCAAAACAACATGACAATCCCTAGTGATTTCCAAAGCAAGGTTCTAGAGCTGTTTTGTGTTGTAGTCTGTATATTTTAACATAAATATTAACTAAAGTATAAGAATACATGTCGATTATCAGACTCAATAGGCTTAAATGTTCAAGTTAAATGCTGAAAAAACTGATGGTTTTCAAATAAACTAATAGTTTTCAGATTTCAGTCACTGAGTTCAATGAGATTCTTCCAAGGAAGTGTACATAGGGTTCTCCCCTAGCAAAATGTTGAAAATCTTTAGTATAATAGCTAAAATGCATAAGATGTTGTCACAAACCTTATTTATATATGTTAAATAAGACATTCATTAGCTAAGCATGCTTGCTTAATGCATTTGGTGCCAGGTGGTTAGTAGCAAGTAGGCCGGGCAAAGGGGCTGAAAGAAGTGCTTTGCAAAGAACATTAGCACAAGTAACACACTTCTGCTGTACACGAGTGAAGCAGCTGAGCCCTTTGGAAGAATTACACAGCCACTCTGCAACTATTTAAGTGTGCATATGCATGTATAGCCACCGTTGCTTGTGTATGCATCCTCAAATAATCAGGATCAGCCTTCAAAGCAGCTATGCTGAGCCTTCCAGAGATCACAGCTGCTTCAAGGAGAGATGCTCTGCTTGTCCAAGCACACTTGAAAGTATTTCTTTCTAATGCTTTGCAATGTCCTACTAGCACTAAAGGGATGAAGAAAACATCTTTTTAGAAGTATGCAATAAAGGTGCTGCTTTGTCACTGAATGTTATTAGAGGTTCATACTGATATATAAAACTTGTCTGAGTGAGCAAATAACATCATAATTAAAGGCATGTTTATTTCATAAACAAAATGAACCAGCATGTGTGTGTGCACACTATATTTAGTCACTGGTTACCCCATCTTTAACTGTAATAAATGTAATCAATACCTATGTAGGAATTTTGGCCCATTCATCCATGGCAAACTTCTTCAGGTCAGCAACACTGAGAATTTTCTAAGATGAATTACCATTTTCAAATCCTGTCATAACACTTCTATAGGTTTAAATTTAGATTTTGACTTGGCTGTTTCAAAAGATTGCACAGGTAGTTTTGTTTAGCGACAACAATTGGGACTGGCAACTCAGTTAAGTGAAGCGGTTGCTAAGTACTTATGACCTTACTTCAACTTTCCTTTGTTTTACAGACCTGTGAAGGTTGTAAATGTGAGGATTGGTTGCAAAGTAACTTTTTCATCACTGTCATAACTTCAAACTGTCACTAAACAAGGTGGTCGCTAAATGAAGACTATCTGTACTTCTTCACCTTTCTCTGGTGAAGAACTCATACATTTGGGATCACCATCTTGCTATATGACCTGCTGGCACTTGGAGTTTGCTAGCTGCTTATATATGGTAGCTTGCCTTACCAGCTTTGACTGGATATTGTTTTTTTTAACTGGATTGCCTTTTGGGTAAGGCATTGGCTGGTAAGACAAGCTACCATATATAAACAGCCAGCAAACTTTACTCCCCCTTGCACTGATGATGTCACCCAGCCTGGTAATGAAACGTCCGCAAGGAGAGAAGCAAGCTGAGAGAATACCATGAACCTAACCCTTCAACCCTTCATGGCAACCACTGGCACTTCAGCTGACAGATAGCCTGATACTCTCCTGTAGCATTCTGACACAAAGCCAAATTTATGCTTCCTTCAATAATGGGAAGTTATTCATATCCTGAGGCAGGAAACCATTCCCAAATCATGAAATTACCAGCTCCAGGCTTGCAATTTGGTATGAGGTGGGGCAATTATCTTTTCACACTGGCAAATTGCCTGCCAGCTGACATGGTTAATGAAACAAATGAAAGAAACATCAGACTTCCTTTATATCCTGATAAGTGGGACCTACATGAAGCTCTGGTAAACATTCAGTGGCAAAAATATGCAAACATTCAGAAAAACGAAAGGGAGGAAATACATTCTCAGAGGACTGTACATATCCTCAAAACCTGGTGCCAGAGCAGAAAGGTTTCCTTGCAAGAACAATTAAATCTCTAAGGATGATAACATTATCCTCCCACTGTCTCTCCAGTCTAGATTGGTGCCAGACCAAGGAGCCAGATGGAGTCTACAGGGTGAAATCAATTTCACTAAGCCCATCCCATCAAAATATCAACAATACATACCTCGTAGGCCCTCTCATTTTTAATTAAATCATGGATGGAAACAATCTTATTAAAGATTGACATGGTATTTAAAAGCAGAACCATGAGACCAGAAGATTGGAACCGCCCCTCCAGGTTTTATGCAAGTTACCTCACACCCAGTGAGCACATTGGTAAGAATTATGGGATTCCAGATTTTAAATTGGTTCTGAAATTCAATACTTACAAGAGTTATTTCACAGAATGAGCGGTGCAATGCTCAAAACAGTTCATTTTAGAAAATACTGTCTCTAAGGGCAAATTAACTATTTTCTCACTTTGCCAACTTTGTTTTCCTTCTTCTTTAAAGTGGGGGTCTTCACAGGGATACCTTTGGAACTTGTTAGAGAAAAGTGAATAAAGTACTGAAGTGTGGATTTTAGACCAAAGAGTACTAAACAGAAACTTTAAAGCAAAGCACATAGAAACAGACATACAATTTGATATAATTCAAAGACCAAGCTGTGATGCAATATCTCAAGCTTGAACATTTCTTACAAAAAAAAAAAAGGAAATAATGTGGTGCTAAGTTAACTTAAATATTAATAGACATATTTATGAATTTGAATTATTTTTCTCATGCAAGGTAAAGATCCCTTCAGGTGAAGGTCACCCACTGGTGACTGATTTTCTTGGCAACAATACCTAAGAAGCTTGGCATTGTCTTTTTCTGCGATGGTGTTACAGTTTCTTACTTAGCTGACAGCTGTGTAATTTCCTTGTGGTCTCCCATCCAAGAACTAAACAGGTTCAATGTTGTTTAGCTTTTCCAAGATTAGTCAAGGCCAGCTAACCTAAGTATATGTAAACACATCTTTTGGTAAACTAATAGATTAAAATTAAGTTTATTAGCTATCCTGTCCATTAGAATAAATAACCACCAACATTCACTTGAAACACATGAAACATTCTGTTTCATGCCACAGTTCTCTTTCTCTCCTTGTACCACCAACCTCTTTTTATCTCCCTCAACAGACGGAAGGAACCGAGCAGAGCAATTTTATACCACCCCACTTTTATTCCTGTGCTGTGGCAGAGGACAGGGGAATGTGGCACGCGGACTACTCCGAGCAGTTTTCCAACTGGCGCGAAGGAAGAACGAAACGGCGGGGCAAAGAAGATGCGGGGCACGTCGTAACCGAGAGGCTGCAGAGCCCGTCGCCCCCTGCCTCCCGTCCCGGATCAAGTCCGTCACCCCGGACTCCCTCGCCATGAAATACGCAGCCCCGAGCATCGGGCCGTCGGGGCCAGCGTTGCAAAGTTTAGAAGGAGGGGGATTCGAAAGAGTCCCGCGCCTCGCGAGCCTTTTAAAAGCAGGAGGCTGAGCAGGGTCCCCAGAGAGAGGAACGGGGGGCGCGTCAATGACAGTGCGCGCGCCCTGCGTCTCCGTCGTCCTTCCGCGCCCCCGCCGAAGTTAATTTTGCAGGACAGCCCCGAAAGGAAAGAAGAGCCACCCTTTCTTTTCTTTTTCCGCTCCCCTTACCTTCGCCAGCCTTCCTTGCGCGAAGTTTGCCAGCCGAATACTGGGGAGGCGCTCTAGTTTCCTCGCTGCCGCTGAGGCGAAGGCGCCGAAGCTTTTCCTAAAATAGGGAGCAGGCGAGCTGCGGGCGGCGTCAGCTGCGGGGTCAACGGCGCGGCAGAGGCGGGGGGGAGAAGGGGGGCCTCCAGCGCGCCGGCGCCCCCCAACAACTCCGGCCTGCG